TAAATGCAGGAGGACAAGGTCCCACCCTGAAAGGCCACTCATGTTTGCTGGAGGCAGACAGGGTGACAGAAAGGAGCTTGAATGTGATGAGACTCCGTCCCAGAAAACCAACCACCTGGTGACTAACATGAAGAAAGATGCAGACTTGGTTTGTGGAAATCTTCCCACACTCAAAACAACCAAATAAATCCACGTGACGCAAAAAGAAGAAAGTGGACAGAGGTGCAGTTTTCAAATAGCACTGGGAGCCAAGCGAGGGCGGGAGGACCGGCCTGCCTCACCTGCCGGGATCTTGGCAAAGACAGAAGTGAGGGGAGGCAGGAAAATGTGGGGTCCCAATGTCACAAGCAACTGAGCTAGTTAGAAATATTATAGGCAGTCAGACAGGGCTGGGCCCTCGAGGAAGCCGACACAGAGGACCAAAGTTCTGGTGACCTGGAAGGAAACAGACATCTCTTGCTGTGGGCTAGAGTTCATGATAGAAGGAAAAACAAATGCAACCACATCCCAAGTACAAACATTAGGGACTAGGTATGGATCACCTTGAGAAGCCAGGAGTCACCATCCCAACCCTCTACAGGAAGAGTCACTGATCCACAAGAACGCTCCCGTGCTATGTGACTCGCTTCCCCATTGGTCCCTGATTTGGTCAGTTTACCTGAACAATTAATCTTACTGGGGACCACAGCTCTGTCCCACCTCATGCCCATCTGCTTTGTGAGTTCCCATTTTTCTCCATCTTAGACTCATCTCAATTAGAGATGAGTCATCTCATCTTAGACTCATCTCATGGTTTTGCTCTATAAAAATCCCTAGAAAAGATAGAATCTTTGGCAACCCACTCAGGGCCCCTTCTGCTCTCTCTCAGACAGAAGCTTTCTTTCTCTCAATAAATATTTCTTTTCTTAACCCCCACTGTTCCTAAAATTCATTCTTCGATTTTAGAGAATGTGAATTCCTACAAGCCAGCTGGCAGGTCAGGAGTTTCGCTCCTCTATGTCACCAGTAGAAAAGAACTGGAAGCATAGGACCTGGATCCAGTCCTAGAGTCCATTGGGCAGCCTCCCTGGGGAGCCCTGGGCTGGTTCACCGGTGTGCTGCTCACTCAGGAGGGTTAGGGGTCGTCACCCACACTTGCTGCAGCACACGAGAGAGAATCTCTCCAACGCAAACTGGGAAACACTGAAAAATACACACTGAGTTGTGTAAAGGAAATAGACAAATACAGAGAATGACAAAAGCTATATATACTCTATGTTTTGAGAGATAAAAAATATTCAGAATTCATGTTTTACTGAGTAATGATTTTATGTGAAGGACCTGGTGAACTTTAAAGAGAACTGATGAATGGGTACAGAAAGTATGGTATATATCCAAAACAGACTACAACTCAGCCCTGAAAAAGAACAAAATGCTGCTACAAATGGCAGTGTGGATGAAGCAGGAGACCTTGATGCTAACCCAGATAGGCCAGACACGGAGAGACCAGTGCAGGCAACTGCTGGGGCATACCTGGGTCTAGAATGGATCTCACCGGGGACAGAGGTCAGTGGTGAAGAGCTGCAGACAGTGGGGAGGAGAGGAAGGGACAGGTGTCACTGGGGCAGAGGCGCGATGAGCAGAAGCGTCCGTATGCCATGCACTGGAGGGTGAGCACGGAGGACCGCCATGTGCAGGGTGCATCAGGAGACAAGGGCCAGCTCAGGGGTAGCACACTGGCCCAGCAGGAGACAGCCCGGGTTCGGTTCAGTCCCAGGACCAAACAAAGGAAGGGGGAGTGGACAATGCTTTCACCGTAATGCAACGATGACTGCTTGAAGAGACAGACACACTCGACCTGCTTTAAACTTGATACAACATCCTCAGGTGCCAGAAGCCAACAAAACACTGCATAAGCAAGGGCAGTGATTATGCTGTTGTGAATCAGTTAAAAATAAACGTAGGCAGGCCTGGTAGTGCACAGCGGTCACCCCAGCACTGGAGAGGCCACAGTAGAGAGGGTCACCGTGAGTTCACGAGTTCAAGGACACCTGAACCACAGGGAGACCCCGTCTCACAGAAACAAAACATCTTAAAATGTGACTTTGTCAAAGGTCTTTCATTCAATCAGAAATTCCCCGAAGCTATTTTAAACCTCTGAGCTGCTCAGGAACAGATATCTGCAGACTCCTCTATGTTTCCATGTCAGCTCCAGTACCTTACTCAGCTCCCGTGTGTGCTTTGGAAGGTTTGTCACCGACAGAGGTCTGTGACCTTCAAGAGTGACCCCTCCACAGGGCCGCCATTCCTCGTGAAGAAGGGGTGCTCAATTGTGCTAAACCTTTCTTTTCTTTTTTTTTGGTGCCGGGGATTGAACTCACGACCTCATGCTTGCCAAGCAGGCACGCACTTAGGTCACTAAGCTGAACCCCGGGCCCAAGCAGCTGAACTTTTTGCCACTAGAACCTAATTAGAAAGCCTACACCTAATGTTATCATTTTGAACTTTAAAATTAGCATGAGTCAAAAAAAACTTAAAGAATTTTACAGCTCTGATTCTGATATTAATTCAGGATCTATCTGAGCCTTTAGGAAAAGATTTAGGACTTCACTACCAAAGTGTACTATTTGTGAGCATAAAAAGTACAGAAATACATTGATGTTAAGCTTTCATAAACACAGACTAAATTAGCAGTTTGACTGAGCGTCTACCGCAGGTCCCAAATCTGGAGCTGCAAAGAAGACCCTCCCTTCAAATCATCCAAAATCCAGGAGCCCGGCAATAAATCATTGTATTGTCATGCAGGAAAACAATGGGAGAAGTCTGTGTAAGGGAATGTGTGGGCCAGAAGCTTCTGAGGAGATGGGTTTTTGATCTGGACTGGGAAGGCTGACAAGACAGCTGGAGAGGGAGAGTCCTCTCACAAAGAGGACAAGTAATTAAGTCTTTCAAATACAAAGAGACATGTAGAGATACAGGAAAAGCAATAAACGCACTTGTGCTAGGCCGTACTTTTGACACCAATCCAGAGCTAGTGGCCGGAGCCCGAGTTCTCATAAAGCTCATGAGGCAGTAATACGGATATGAATTTAATTACGTACATCTGCGTGTCTGAAACTGCATACCCTAGCCATGAAGATCTCCTGTGCTCAAGCAAGCCTGAGAAATGCTGGAAACCCAGGCAGCAGGCACAGCACTCCACGTCTGTTTGACCCCACCCCAGCGATTTCTCTGCAGTTTGGGGGACCAGGCCCATTTTGAGGTGCTGATTAATCTAAGACATTGGAGTCTTTGGCTCCTCATGACTGGCCACGGAGCTCTGCACACCTGGCCTTCCCGTGGGCACAGTTATGGGTAGAGCCAGGCCTCAGCACCCCTCAGGCTGGAAGCCCTGACTCCCCTCCTGGAAGACGATAGCCAGGGGTGGGGGCCACCTGAATGCTGCAGGCCCCAAGCAGCAGCCTCAGGATCCTCAGGAGTGCTCATGGCAGAAGGGGACCTGCGTGCCCACAGCAGCACAATTCTAGCCTGCATGTCCATCAGGAGGTGAACGGGGAGAGAAAATGTGCTGCTCACACACCGTGGAGCAGCACTCTGGGATCCAAAGGACAGATGTGAGTCCTCGGGAGATGCACCCTGAGGCCACCATGTGCCATGCAATGAATCATACACACAAGCTTAAACATCGCACGCTTTCTCTTACATGAGAAACCCGAGGTACAGAACAGTGAGAGAGCAAACTACAAGACAGATCATAGGACACTGGGAGACAGAAGCTTTGGCAAAAGGAAACCAGACCAAGCGCTGGAGGGCGGGGAGGTGAAATGAAGGTGTGTCCTGTGTGTGTGCCAGCTGCCCACGGCACTGTGATTGCTGGGCACTGCAAACTCGGGCTAATCGACGTGTGAATTCTTAAGAAGGGAAAGGACTCGAGTCCTCAATGGTGTGAGTGGCCTCAGCCTGGCCCTGATGTGGAGGATCCCAGAGAGGGATCCCCATTCGCAGGAGCATCCCTCACTGGGGACCAGCACCAGTGAGGGGGAGCACAGACCAGGAGAGAGGAGCAGGGTCCTCCAGAGCAGGTGTCCTGTGGGCAGGCCCCGTGGTCAGTCTGCAACCGCATTTTGGTCTAGTGTTACTCTGCTAAGCACTTTATGGGCTGCCTCCAAGAAAGTCGTAACATTCTGAAAAGTAAAATAAATTCTAAAAGGAAGAAAATTAGCTGGCAAATTCATGTCATTCAAAATAAATCCAGGGAGGGACGGGGATTTAGCTCAGTGGCTCAAGAACTTGCCTGGTAAGCATGAGGTCATGAGTTCGATCCCCAGCACAATAAATAAACCCAGGGATGCTCTGCTTTGTTTTGTTTTGTGGTTTGGTTTGAGCAGTGGTTGCTATCATTGCTACCGTTTGGATGCTGGGATTCAGCTCATGCTTAACACATGCTAAGCACAAGCTCCACCGTTGAACAATCCACCCAACCCCCAATTTGTATGGTTTTGGGATTTGTGGTGAGCAACACAAACAGCCCTGAAAGGAAGCCTTTGAAAATGCAGCCAAACTCTTAAGGTCTAATAAATACAGTGAGCCCTGTAATTACCGTTCAGCACACCAGATCTTTAATGCTCAGGTACCTTCCCAACAGTTAAACTTCAGTTATTCCATAAATTCCATTTAGCTTGGGTTTTGTTCCCTTTTTACAAGATGGTATGAAATTATAACTGATGATATAGTTCCTTGCTGGAGAATCCCACAGCCGATGACTTTTGTGTCTCTACCTGCTAATTCTTTCAATGTGCCTTGGCAGGAGCAACCCCAGCCCATAAAACAAAACACTACACCATCCTCCTGCTTTCTAAAGACCAGGAATTGGAGAGGGACAGCTTGAGAAAGGAACCCATGTCAAAATGGTTTAATTTCCAGGAATAAAATTTGATCATTTAAAACATTTTTAAATACGCTTCCAAATTAACTGGATTTTTCAAGCCTACACTGACAGGGATGGAAACAGTCTCACTTACTTTATTTAGTGGAGTGGCAATGGATGTAACAGTGTCACTGCGTTCTTCATTTCAAACGAAGGCTCCTCTGTGCAGCAGAGGCTCTCCGCGCAGTTCTCCATCTAATGGCAATATTTTGACGATCTTCCTGCTGGCATCTTCGTTCTGACAGCCTCGAAGCTGTGCGGGTTTTCGGCTTCCAGAGCTATGCTGGAGAGGGGCTGGGTCCGTGCCAGCTGTCCTTCAGTCTCACATCAGCTCTCTTGGTGTCTTGTCAGTTGAAAGCTTTTGCACGGTTCTCGAGCCTGAATTCATTAGATAAGGGAAATGGGTCCTCTAAATCTCAGGCAGCCTGCACCGCCACAGACAGTCTCCACTGGAATCTCCTCCAAGGCTGAATTGGAAAATAGACCTCCCGGGCTTTCTCCAGCTTGTTATTTGATGAGACCCTTGTAAGAGCAGCTGCTGAAGCTGTGTGTGCCTCAATAAAAATGTGGGCTTTAAATTCCCTTCCCTTCATATTTTCCGTATAAAATCGAACACAACAGCTGCAATAGAAGGACAGAAAGGTCCTTTGAAGTTCAGGCTGCCAAGCCGATGATAAGCAACCAATTCATCACGGAGGCACTTCTTAATGAGGGGCAGAAGAAGGAAGTTCTATATTCTCCTGAAAGCATTCGCCAGCATCCTAAGACCAGTAAGAAGCAGGCGGCCAGGGTCCTACGTAGGCTGGGGTGTCCTTCTGAGAGTGGGGAGCAGCCTCATTCTCACGGCTATCAGTCATCTTTCATAATTTCTGCTCAATTTCTGTGATGGTAATTATAATAACTTCAACAAATATGAAACTTTTCCAAGGAGTATATATAAGATTTGTGTAAAGAGTGTATTTCATAAAGAAGGTTGTGCGAAGTTTGATAATGTTCTTCATTGTGAAGTAGGCGAGACTCTCGGGTCCCAATCCCCGCTTTGGAGTCTCGTGGTCTTTTATAAACCATTTGAAATATTTCATCTCCTTGTGACACAATAAGCATATAAAAACAAGCTTTTTATTTTAACAAGACTAACAGAATAAAGAGTAGTTATGGGGATTTTCAAAAAGTGTAATGCACTGTTTATTTGTAACTGGCTACTTTATGATCCCTGGGAAAAACAGAAACAGAAAGAATCAATTCCTATTGTACGCCTTTTTGCAGAATACATAAAATCCCACAAGAATGGCTATGTTTCTCTTTATGGTGTTTGGAGAATTACAGTGAATGACTGATTTTTTTTTTTTTTTGTTGTTGTTTTTTTGCTTGACTATAGACCACAGAGGATTGTGTTTGAGGATCTTTTATACTGGTTGTTAAAATTATACCTCAATATTTACTTTATGTATTACATGTTAGATTTTGTGTCAAAAACTCAGTAGGCAAGGGTACAAAAAGAAAATGAGGTAAAGACAGGAGAATAAAACATTTATAAACAATTGTTCCCAGGATGCTCCCAGTTAGATGGTTACTTTCCATCGCTTTAATCAGAAGTATCACTATCACACAGTCTTCATTCAATGGTATGACTAAACAACCTGGTTTACATTAAATTGTGGTTGATTTGTGAAGATTTAAAAATCCAGTGCTCATGTTTACCATTTTTCAAATGGTAATGCCGTGGTTGGTGAGGTGAGTGTCATTAATCTTCAGGAGTATGTTAAATTGCAATAACAGTTGTTTTCAAGAATAAATGCATTAAATACGAGTTGAGGTTGAAAGTCAGGGACCATACAAAGCAGGTGACAGGTTTTTAATTCAAACATTTATAAACTGGAACTTTATGTCCATTTGCATTAAAGGAACCGAGGGATCTCCTGGTTTGTATATTAAGGCAGTGTAGTTAATGACTAATACATTCAAAAATTAGTCTGCATAGTATATTTCCTCTTTTGCATGAAGTGTTTGCCATTGAAGGCATAAGGCTATGTTGTGAGAAACTAGAGTTGAGTACCAAAGAAATAAAGAAAAATATATATTTCCTTTTATGATAAAACCAATATTTTAGTTTCAAAAAGTTTTAAAAGTATTTAAATTGACACAAAATAATTGTACATAATTATGAGGTGAATTATGATGTTTTATTCTTGTATACATTGTATAATCATCAGAATATTTAACATATCCATGGCCTATATTTATCATGCCTTTGTGGTGAGAACATTTCAAATCTCAGCTATTCTGAGATATTCACTAAGTTATTGCTAGCCATAGTCAATGAAGCAGCAGAACAACACATTGTACGTCTCCTTTCTAACTTGTGTATGTTGATCAACCCTCCTGGCATAGCCCTTAGTACGCTCCAAACCTCTAGTGATAACCCTCCTGATATACTTCACTGAGGTGAGCTTCTGTATCCCATCTAAACCTGAGATCGTGCAGTATTTGTCTTTCTGTGCCTGTCTTATTTCACTGAATAGATATCCAAAGGAAAGGAAATCAGTCTTCAAAGAGACAACTGAAGCCCAGGCTTTTTGCCAGATTATTTGCAATTCCCAAGGTAAGCAGTGAGCCCTCGTGACCAGCCATGGATGGAGAGATAAAGAAACATGGTATCCAAACACAGAATAGTACCACAGAGCTGTAAAAACAATACAACCCTTTCTACTATAGCAAATTACATGAACAGAGAGGGTTTGATACAGAACTAGGAAGTGTTGCTTTCCATATTTTCTGAGTGAGGAATCAGAGATTCAAACAAGTTTGAAAATGCCAAAAATCGCATCATTTCCCTCTGATAACAGTGTGATTCATGCTCATCCATCTAACTCCAACACTCTAGGACTGTCACATCTGTCACTCTGTGACTTCACAGCCCTGCAATTTATGCATGCGCCATCTGCCGTGTATAATTTGTTTGCTGTTTTTAGACTAAATTCCTTCTGAAGCCACAGTGACCACTTGCTGCCAGGTTGCATTCTGGATACCATGCTAGTCTGCCATGGAAAGGTTTGGAAAGGTTTACTCAGAAACCCTAGTGCATGGAAGAGGGAAAGAGCATCTGGGTGAGGTAAGAGACTTTCACCTCACTAGCATCCTTTGCACATAGCTGGCGAGGCTGGACCAGAATACGCTTAGTTCAGAACCTCGAGTAAGTTGTTACAAGCTGTGAAAGCTTCAAATGAAAGCTGACATTTTACCTGCTGTAATGCAGAATAATTTGAACATCTCCCGGCATCTCTGTTATTTATCTGTCTCCTATTCCCTGCTCATCTACTTTGAAAGTCACATGGGCTGGCGACTAGAACTGTCATGCCAGAGAGCTTGCCCAAAGAAAGATGTCTCTCTGTGTAAACATTTTAACCCGGGGCTACAGCTGTAATCAAATGAAGTAAGGAATCCTGGCAGATTAGACTTAAAAGGCTAAGGAAGACAGAGCACCACCTGATGGTAGCTGGGCCTAAGGTGACAGTGGTAGACAAGCAATCCAGAACTGCCAGGAAAACGGTGAGAACGCACTGTCTAAAGAGGGTGGCTAGGAAAGACTAATAATAATAATGTAAAGCCACGCAATCTGAGATGCCATGCAAAGATGGGCCATCACATGCATAATCACTGAGAAGGGGCAGAGTGTGTGCCTGAAGGAATGAAGGTCTAGACAGCTAATTGACCATCTTTATGGAAATTTTACTTGTTTTAAATGTCATCCCGGAGCATCATAATTTTCACCTTATATATCTATTTTTAAAAATACCACTGTAGGATTCGATTTGGCTGGGTTTTGTTTTTTGCTTACATCATGATTTTTATTTTTTTTCACTCCATCTCCTTAACCTTCACGTCTAACAGAAAATGTATTAAAATATATTCATTTACTCTTGCCCTAATGAAGTAACTCTTATGTAAAATTAATTCTTGCTGCCTTTTCATAAAAATAAATTATATTTTTATATTTCCCCAAATGTGATATTATTAAACAATATTATTTTGATCTATTTACACTGATAAGATAATTATTTATTGATTTGTAACAATAATATATCTCTAACATAAAATCATTGATTTTCATAGAAAAATCTTTTCATAGAAAATCTTCAATTTTTCATAGAAAACTCCTCTTAATAAGGATACTCCTGTTTTTTTAAATTTTTTGGTGGTCTCCTTTTTCCCTTTTTCATGATTCGTATTTATTTAGCATGTTAACATTACTACATAAAATCAATAGTGAATCGTATAACCTTACAAATGAATTAAATATAAAATATGAAAATATTCTTGATAGAAAATAAATCTAAAGGATTCCAGTAGGTGATACACAATGATATGGTTTAGGTTGTGTATTTGAGAAAAAAAAATAAAACTGGTGCACAAATCACATACATTCACATAACCCCAAAACAATAATGAAGTTTTAAAAAGCTATAAAATTGGATTGGGTATAGATAAATGCATTGATTTCTGTCCCTTCCATTCTCTTCCATTAGTCTGTATTTCTGTTTTTAAACCAGTGAAATTCCACTTCCCTTACCATAGTTTTGCAGTATATTTGGAGTCTGATAGTTTGATGCCTGCAGCTTTGTTGTGTTTATTCAAGGCTGCTCTGGCTCTTTGAGTTTTTTTTTTTTTTTTTCTGATTTCATATGAACTTTAAGATATTTTTCCTATTTCTGTGACAATGGCTTTCGCTTTTTAATAAAAACAGCATTGAAGCTATGTGTTTCTTTTGAGTTTATGGACACAGTAATAATCCATAAGCATTGGCTATGTTTATATTTATGTGTGTCCTGTTGAATTTTTTTACAAGCGTTTTCATGTTCAGACCATTCACTTCCATAGTTCTAGTTGTGACTAATTATTTTATTTTACTTTATTCTGTGTATGGTAAATTAAACTTTTCTTGGTTTGTTTTTATGATAGTTTGCTGCTGGGGAAGAGAAGTTCCTTTGATTTTTGTGCGTTGATTTTGAAAATTTACTGAATTTGTTTACTAGTTCTTACAATTGTTTTGATGGTTGTTAGTTTTCTGTAGAAAAGAGCGTATCTTTTGCAGACCAAGACAACTTAGTGTCTCTCTTTACTGTCTGGATTTGTGTATTTTTCTCTTGCTTGATGGTGCTAGCTACTGCTTCCTGTGTTTTGTCCAGACTTTCCAAGCAGAGTTAGCAAAACACCTCTGATGAACAAATGATACTTGTCTATTTGTCAGATGAGACTTTGCTTTGTTGACGTACATTCTTTCCATATCTCTTTTATTTACAACCTTTGTCATAAAGAGATGTTGGATTTTATCAAATGCATATTCTGCATTTATACTTATCAGACTTTCATTCTTATCTTTCATTCATCTAATGTGATATGCCTCATTTACTGATTTGCATATGTCAAGTCATCCTTTTGGTCCTGAGATGAATCCTACTTGACCACGAAGGAGATTCTTTTTAATATTGTATTGAATTCAGTTTCTTAAAATTAAAAAAAATATATATATACGTTTGCTATGCATTTATCACACGTAGTTGATTTATCAACATATCATGTCCTGACCCCATTTACCTCTCATCCACTCCAGTCTGCCCCCTTCAGACAGCCCCTCCCCAGTGGTATGAGATCTACCTCCCTGTTTTATATTTTTTGGTAGGGTTGCTGTCCAGATGTACTCCCAAAGCCTTACGTGGTCTTAGAGATTTTGGAAGTGGTTGACTCTAGGTTGTG